AGAGAGAGAGAGAGAGAGAGAGAGAGAGAGAGAGAGAGAGAGAGAGAAAACTCAAAGTACTTTTATGGCTTCTTCTTTAGAATGAATTGTTAAGTGTGATGCACACGTGCATACGCTGCATTATAATATTATTGTAATAAAAGCACTTTACGGATTTTTCTCTCTCGGAACATAAATTACATGCCATCCATTTGGATTTTATGGTGTGTTTCTTTTTATACATTTCTCTCACCTCGCAGAACCTTTACGCAGACTAACCAGTGGAGTAAGTATCATTTGGATCATTCACAAGGGCAAACCATTAAAAAAAAAAAAATCCAACATCATTATCCCATCCGATGCAAATGTTTGCAATAACCATATTCTGGACATTATGTGCATAGCCTTACAGAAATTTGATTACAACATATTGCTCAATGTAATATGTTTTAACGCAGAATAAGGAAGGAAAAAAAAAATCAGTGCATGAGTGACCTAAAGGTTTGAAATTGTTCTGTACGTTGGTTTTTATTTTCATTGAATAATAAAATAGCATCAACTCTGATTGCATCAGCACAATGCAAACGACATTGTTGTACTCTTGTACAACAAAAGTCGATAGTCGGCATAAATATGTAACTTTGAGTGTATGTGTTTCTTGAGGCATTGGCTTCTATTTGAAGTGTGAAAATAGCACATCTTTAGAAGAGATACAGTAGCCAATCTGCTTAACAACCTAAACATATACCTAATTTTGTTCTTATGTTAATTCGTAGCTGGTTAATGGTGAATGCTCCTCATTATATGATCGCACATAAATGCATTTTAAGTGAAAATCAATATCCTATTAACGTTTGATACGCTCATCAGGGCATCGTCAGTGTAAAGAATATGAGTTTTTAGAATGGTTACATTGAAAGAGAACGCTACGCAAACACTTGCATTGAAATGATATTTTCTATGTTGTTGATCTTAACTGATTAACTGATGTGCCGAGGCGTGATTATCCCTTTGGACAGTAATTTAATTATAATCAGCAAAATCGGCATCATTTGCAATTTTCATGCGAATTGCATCACCTCAGAAACTGCATTGTCAGGATCCAGCAAAAAAGAGGTAATGATCATACGCTATCTCTATAGCAGCGCATTTTGTACGATGTTCAGCATTAAACGTGTTCAGGTCTGATTCATTACATCGGTGATCATCACTTCTTCTTTTTTTGTACGTTCGAAATAATGACTAGGACTTCTAATACGGAAAGAATGGAGACCGCATTTTTATTGCTTTATAAATCAATTTGTTAACATTCCAACGCAATCGCGTTCTTGGTGGAAGTAAAGGTGGGTCGATGTATCGAAGAGAAAAACTTAAAATTACTTATCTTAAATGAAAAGGACGAATACGTAGTGATCACATCACATCAATGGACGTGTGCCGATGAAGGGAATTTATTAGCTCTTATGTGATTTGCAATTTTCTTCTTCTTCGTGTGCTGGGCACATCGCACAATGTGACTCGGCGATCTCTGCACAATGTTCTTTTCCTACTGAAATATAGAGAGAGAAGGAATGAAAAAAAAAAAACTATACCAAAAACTGTAAAGAATTCAAAGCAGTCTTCATCTTGTGTGTATCGGCACGTTTGTTCTGATAGTTTTGGATGGATGCGACTGTGCGTTTACTTCGTAAAATGATTTGGAGATTTTTTTTCGGTTTTTTCGTAGATTTAATTACATACTGAGAGTCCAGGCATCGACTTCGTGAGCTGCAAAGTGAGACACAGAGAAAAGAACACACGATCGAATGTGGAATACATTTGTGTTATGTGTATTGTCTATCGCCCAACCGTATGCACATTGCACAGTTTCCTTTTCGTCTTTTCGAATTTCATTTTCATTTTTAGTCTTCAGAGTTTTAATAATACCGGCAAAAAAAAAAAACATAAAATCAACACATGCACTTTGGTTTGAATGTTGCTGCAAATCCAACTGAGCGCTGGACGAATCTCACATCAAATGCGTTGCGCTTGCACATTTTTCGTCCAAGTTTGAATATTGAATCAGTAGTTAAATGTTGTGACTGCGTTTTACACGATGCCTCTCTGCGCTCTTTGGCTTTCGTTTGCGTCTTTTTTTTTTTTGGTTGTGCATTCGGCACTCTGTGTTATGCTATGCATTACGCGCTGTATTATGTTTGCATGAATATGAATGTGTCTCTTCTGCTGTTTCTTTCTCCACTCATCTTTCTTTTATATATGTATATACGCTATATATTCTTCTGCATTCTGTTCTGTTCGTTTCTCTTCTTGCAGTTCTTCATTTTATGAATACTTTTGCAGCATCGCATTTTGTTTCCTATTCCTTTTTCATGCGTTCTTATCGGCCTTCGTAGATTTTGCGTTAGTTCACTTTATTCGGTTTTAATATCTGTTCATTTTTTATCCACACATTTCTTTTAAAGTAGTTTTTTTTTCTTTCTGTTTTGTTTTGTGTGTGCACTTGACATGCAATCAACTCGTTGCTTCATCAATATATGCTAGCCCACTTAGGCAATTTGATGACTTATTACTATTGTTGTTGGTCTGTTTCATTTCATTTCATCTCTAATTTGCGTTTCGTATGATCGATGGGCATATAGCATGTTGAACTTCTCGATAACGGTTTTTTCTCCTAATGATTCGCACTAATGATCAAAATCATAATTCATTAGCGTGCAATAAGAGAATATCCATCAAAAGTCAAGCCGTGGTCAAATATGATCCTGAGAATCGGAAATCAAGACAATAAATCTCACGAAATTCCCATACGCCATGGAAGAAAATGGTACATGCTACTGTTTCTGTGCTACATGACAATACGCCGATCGTTCACGGGATGTCATTCATTCTTTTTTTCTCCTTTTCATTTCATCGATGAGTGAGTGATTGCTGCGCTTTGGTATGCTTTGGTAACAAGCACTTCTCACATATGAAAAAGTTGCTATTGCCGTTGAGTGGATCATGTAATACGAAAGCTCAGCGATCGGCATGCGTAGATACAGGCTTGAACAGGCCGATATTCAACATAACCGTAGTGTGTGTGTGTGTGGACCAATGCATAGGTTATAGCATAGAGCTTGGGCGAAGTGTGTGCGATCGTATGTGTTTGTTTGGTTGGTCGTTTGTCGTTTGCTTGTCGTAGTTAATTCCTCAACGAATGCTTATTGTACGCTCACAGATTTCGTTGGAAAAGGGCTCACGCTGTCTATAAGAGATTTGGTTTGCGCCGAATCATACTTATAGTTTCACTCTCCGTCGGCCGGAGCAGACGAGATTTAAGAAATCATCGCGCGCAGCACAAAATTTGCTGACTTCTCTTTTTCACTGCCGAGATTTATATCGTTTGTGATACATATTATACACAATTTTTTGTTTTGTTTTCGTGTGTGGTTTTGATTTCTGCAACATTTTCTTCTTATTCTATCGCAAGGCAAACCAAAACCAAAAGCGAACAAATTAATGACACAGAGTATGAGTGCAGTGCATGGCTAGTTAGAGGTCAGTTGACGTTGGTTCGTTCAAAGGATAGCACGCAATATTCCGAACTTTAGACAATTACTGGTTTAATTTTGTATATAAAAAAAAAAACATACACAACACATTCAACCAGGAATTATGTGATTGAATTTTTTTTTTCCATTTTTACGTGAAATATTTTCAAAATAATTTTGTGGTGAAAATTTTTAAGTTTATTCTTTTTGCATTCGAATTTTTATAGTGACAATTCGGAACATTCACAGTTTAACTTATAACTTTTTGAAGGAAGTTTTTTTTTTTTTGAAATTATTTTAACGGAGTACAAACCACACGCCCGATCCAGTGTGGTCGGCCAACAGCAAACATGGGACTAACAAGACGCATACAGTGAGTGTTAAACCATTTGTTTAAGAAATTTTTTATTTCGTTCTCTTTAAAATCACAATTTTCTGTTACAATTTCGTTCGATGTGTTCGACGTGACAAAGTAATGGATTTTGACATTTGTTAAGTAGTGAGGAAAACGAAACACACGAATCACGAATGAAATGCATAGATGAAGTGCTTCTCGTAATTAATGAGCTTGTCTTTGCTGATGTTTCATTTTGGAAAAAATGCTAATTTGAGCAGAAGCAGAAAAAAAATTAAGAAAAATCGGCCAGTTATCAAGACATTTTTGTGTTACTTGATCGGTAATTATTTTAGACATGCCTCTCCGATTAAAAGGATTCGAGATATAGGTGAAAAGTGGCCCATTAATGTGAATAACCAAGTGAAAACACACAGAGATGAAGAAATGCATGAGACAAGAAACGAAAAATTGCTGCAAGCAGTGTTGAATTTTTCATTGTTGATGTTGTTGCTCATTTCTCTTCTTGTCTGTCCTTTTTTCTTGTTACTGAGTTCAAATACAAGAAGGCTTAAATCGCAATGTATCATTTTTAGTATTTTATTTTTTTGTTTTCAATTATTTATTGGGAATTGTGCTGTTCTTTCCATTTCTTTCTCCTCTTTGTTTGCACAAATTTACGATTTATTATGTTTCATTTTTTAAAAAAATACGCACTTTTTCGGCTCGTCCCCGTTTTCTCACTCTTTTTTCATCCATCGTACGATTTGTCGAAGTAATGTTTGAATATAAACGTACAAAAGAGAACTGAATAATAATGAATATTGGATCGCATACAGTGTAGACCGAAAATTACCGAGTGTATCGTTGATTCAAAAATTGAGAAATGAAACAAAATATACCAACAACTTTGAATCTTCACTTGGGCTATTTGCGACCTTTCATGCACCAGATTTGAAGAAAATGAAAAGTGAAAACAAAACCAATTGTGATTTCCATAATTGGCGATTCCGTCAATTGTTTTGTGTGTTTTTTCATCTTATTTTCAAAATGTATTACTTTTCACACTTCAAGTTTTTAACCATCTAATTGGCAAGACACCCCTCCCCCCCCTTGACTTTTTGGTTTTTGTGTTACAGTTCCACATTTGAACATTTTTTCCCTCAAAATAATGAAAAAACGATTTTAGATTACTCTGCTTGACGTTTTTAGACGTTTGGCAAAAAACGTTTAGTGGAAGAAAAAAAAAAATTCAAAAATGGAACTAAAACACAAAAAACAAAGACCGTCTACAGAGTTTAAAATAAATGGCTCGGCTTTCGATGTAATCAGGGAATTATGCAAAAAATTGTTACATTGGAGAGACAGGAAACAACAATAGAAATATTATCTATAACATGCGTGCTTAGAACAGTGTTTAGAATGATTCGTCCAAAGAAGAAAAAAAATAATCGGGGTTTCAAGCTACAATTCCGGGAATGAGAGATAAATGTAGACAAAATACAGATCAAAATGTGGTGTGTGCATTATTTTTCTCTCTATTCATCGTTTTACATATGGATTAACCCGTGCTCTCATTAGACATTGATTAATTAGCATGAATCGTAAAGTTAAGCCAATGAATAGAGCAAGGATTCAATTCTATGAATCATACGCATCGTATTGGCAAACACATTCATTCCACATTGTATGCAATCGGCATTCCGTTGTAATCTGATTGTGTGGAATTGATGTCTTTCACCCGCGGAGAACAACACACAATCAGAACAATTAAATCAACGTTATAAACAATTTGCCACAAAATCAGAAAAACGCTCAACGGCGCGCGTATTGGTATTACGCACACCATTTGGCATAATTGTTTTTAAGTTTGTTTATCGTCTATCAAACATGCTCTATTGCCAACTGGAAATGTGCTCGCTCAAATTGCCCATAACGAAAACACTTACTTTGTAGTAGGAACGTGGTTTTCTGTGAAGATTATTTTTTTCTCTCCCAAAGCCCATCGATGGGAAAGTGTTTGTAACATCCATTCCAGTTTCGCCAGATTTTTCTAATCACTCTTAGGCTTAGGCAATCCTTCCTACGGAATTCATTTGTAATGTAAATATTTAGGTTATTGCTCAATAATCGCGAGAACTAATTTCATTTCGATTCGTTTTTTTTTTTCTATTTCTATTATTTGCAATTGAACTTATTCAATATTTGCTTTACTTCTCTTTAATCATTGATCGGTCGGTTCGATTAAACTAATTTCCATTTATTTATTATTGCTGAGCTCGTCTTTCGATTTCGGAAAATCGAACAATGGCAAACAGTGCACTTTACTTTGTGATTAGTTTGTATTTGAATTTGAATTGATTTGAGCATTTGAAATGCAGTAACACATAACAAAAACATACAAAATGTTTTTATGACCGCCTTATGGCCCCGCGAGGAAAATGAGACTCGAGAAAAAGTAGGTTTGTTCAAAGACGTGAGTAGTGGGTACTTTTTAGTCTTAGAAAAAAATCACAGCGAAATTCAAACACAGAGACAAACATTAATAGCTCATGCAAATATTTTTTTGCAAATTATGAACGTTATTGCGTTCCTTTTGTTTACCGTATCCAAACACAATCAGGGAAAAAGTGGTCGACGCGCGCATTCCGCGAACAATATCTATGCCGTGAATGAACGAACGAACGAACGAACGAAAGAGGTTGAGCTGGAATGGCAAGGAATATGCCACTTGAATGTAAACATCAACATAAACGCGCATAAGAGTGATATTGTGCAACGCTGTGTGATCGCAGCGAATCGGATCGGTCGTCAGATTGTCTGAAATATTTACAATAGCCCAAGTCACTTGGAAATCAATCGTATTCACCGATGTCTACCGAGAAATTGTGCGCAGGCTTTAAATCGCTGCAACCGCTTTTATGATTCGACCACGTTTAATTTCAACTGAAATGTGTCAATTTTCAAATGAAGGGAAAAAGAATCATGTAGATAATCATGTTTTCTGGCATGTTGGCTGGCCCGAGCTGTTGTGCAAGTGCTGCTTCAACGATTTCCGCTTTTTGCCACAATGAGAATACACCAACGACACGACACTACGTGTTGACTTCTTTCAAATATATTTCATTCAGAACTAAGGGGGCTTATATCCCTCGGTTTTTATGATATTCCGATAAAGAAATCTAATTTCCATTAGTTCAAAGTAAAACGCTTCGAATTCTTAGTCGTACAACACGCTACGGCTGTGTAACGGCATCACATACATTACGGCAAATGTTCTTCCTCTGATTAGTTAGAGACTAGTTCCCTCTCTCTCTCTCTCTCTCTCTCGTTCGCTTCGAAAAATATTCGTCGATTTCAAGAACCATAAAATCACTTTGGCGGCAGGAAAGAGCACCGAGTGCGAGAAATAATTAAAAGAGATGTCGTAATAAAATTCAAACTGCGTGCAGTTTTCGAATTGAGCTGCATAGATCGAGAGAGTCTTCAAGTACCAAGTCAATTTGGTTTGTTATTGCATCGGCATTTCGTCATCGGGCTCAAACGTCCAATCGTCAATAAATCGAATCCAACAAAACATTCACACGATGTGCTCCGTTTCGTCTCAGCTATAAACTTCGATTCCTCTTTGTATATGAATGTTTTTCTTATTCGTTCTGCATTCCTATCTTTTTATCAATTTTTTTTTTTTAGATCCTTCACGATTCACGGCCATTCAAATTCATTATTATTTTAAATAGAAACGAGAAATATTGATCAAAATGTGCGTCGTTAATAATACCTTCGTTCATTAGGCTTCGGGCGTATTCTTTTTTTTTTCGTCCAGTTGTTATCTCAACGCATCATCACAAAATGTTGCAAAAAGTGCATCAATATTCAATCGGTTCTTTGGCCTTTTTATGATAAGACATGCAATTAAAGAAAACATAAAACTAAGATCAAGATTTATTTTCCAGTCATTATCTGTACAAACACACAAATAACTGTTGAAACGGTCTAAAGAACCCATCATAATTTCAAACATGTGTCTTTTTTTTTTGCTTGGGCACCCAAATCACTTTATGTTATTCGAATGAAACTCACACAGTGCGTTCGATATACACATATGATGCGTACAAAAGTTTTTTTTTTTGGCTAAAAACAGCCGTGACGAAGGGATAGAGGCCATAAATGCTTGACAAAATTATCTATTCCATTTGGTTCGATGAATTGACATGTTTTGGGATGAATTCCATTTTCAAGAGGAAACCAGTCACAACTGATGAAAACGAACCAATGAGATAGAATAACAGGAATGATTTGAATAGTCAGTCGTTCAATGTTGAGATTGCGAAGGTTTTGTTTTTCCCTTTTTTGTTTTTTATCACTCTGAGAAAATCTTTGAAAGAAGACACTGACGCCATAGTTGACAAACGTTTGGTCTTAATGATCGGAAGATGTATGAAGGCGCCAGCGTTTCATTTAGAATTCAATATTTTGCATGCTCACAATAAAAAAAATACGCAGAATGAAGAGAAAATAGAAAAAAAACAGAGAAAGACTTTTCTAATGGCCCGGTTGTTTGTTTCAATTGCATCAATAAAATGTCACACACAAAACGGAAAATAAATGGCAAGCCACACACCGTTGTTAATACCATCCCCACCGTCACTAATTGCAAACACAAAAACAAGAACAATTTCTCACAGTGATCGAAATGTTTCAAATGACATGGCTTAATGAGAACAAAACAAGTTTTCTGCGCCGTGACAACAATGGCACAAATCACTCAAACCCATCGAGAAGTGTGCGGTTCTCTCGATAAAAGTTGTCAATGTATTTTAAACGGTTAAAATCTGAAAAGTGAGTTCCAAATCCACCTTTTTAATTATGTAGCATATTTTCGAACGGAACCCGAAATGAATGGTGGAACAACATTTTGCGCAACGACGGAAAAATAACTTCATCCAATTTAATTAATTAATGCGATTGTTCTAAAAGAGAGCGTTGATGCTAAATTTAAGCGTAGCCGAAACTTGTGTCATTTTGCGACATCCAAACAAAATCATTAGTTGTCTGTGCTGGATAAAAGTTTAATGAACTGTTCAGAACCGTTTTTGACAATGATGCCGAAACGATGGGACAGCATGAAAATAAAATCAACGAAATTCAACGCAATATCATATAAATTATTTCTGAGAAAATTAAGGATTTTATTTCTAATATATAGTCTGTATAAAAGTCCTTATCGTCGCATGAACAAAGTTTTTCCTTCTATTAAATACGGCATGCAAAGCAAAAGCGATATGACACATGAAAAACAATGTTCCACCCAAAACAATCCATTTGAATTAGAAACATTTCGACATGTCGACATGTGGTGAACGAAATGTATGTATTTACAAACGATACGCATCTTTTTTGTGCATTTGCTCTTGCACATTTTCTCCTTGTTTTGTCTCTCTCTCTCTCTCCCTCTCTCTCCCTCCCTCCTTCTCGGCAAATGTGTTAAACTATTAATTAAAATCAGTTTCGTTTTTCTTAGTATTCCCGAAACATAAGTGACTTTCGGAACTTATGTAGAAAGTTCAAGATCATTTAAAACTGTAGATAATTTAAAATGAACACAAACGAAGAAGAAAAAACAAAATAAAATACAGTCCTAGAGACAATAAATAAGTAAAACCATCACGTTTTAAGTGTACCACATGCAATATCCTCTCTTTTTGGAAATTAAGTATTGAAAGGATTAATGCCGAAATCCATTTCAAAGCAAAATGAAGTGCAATCTGTTTGGTGAACGAGAACCATATGAAGTGGGTCAAATTGACGACATGTAATTTGAGATGGTGAAGAGTGCAAGCCGGCAACTTTGTTCAAAGACCATTCTTGCGAAGCAAACGGCTAATAAACACATCTTTCGACCGGTTCCGGCAGAAACGGTTCGATCGATTTCTCTTTGAGTGATTCGCGTTTACTGCAAATGAAAATATGATTTATGCTGTGGACCATAGCAATTATTTCTTTCGCAGCATAAACAATCTTAGCAGATAATGTATAAATATTCATAAATTCCATCCAATTCAAAATAAAAGTGCAATGGAATTCAAATGATGCAACACATATTCGTATTTTCAAATTTTCTACATTCTTATGACATTCTTTTTCCTGCTCTTACAATTACAGATTTTCCGTCTTGATATCATTTCTGCTTACATTAGATTTAAATCCCATTCACACAAGACAGGTAAGACGTTTATGTCGGCATTTATGTGTGAGTTAATCACATGAATATATCTTTTCATTAGTTCGGAATTAGACCGAAACGTGAATATGGCGACAATTTGTATCTACCTTCTACCTTTGTGATTCCGGGCGGGGAAGGATCGCCACAAGGTTGGAGCGAATGGAGTGGCCCATCATCATGCTCACGAACATGCGGCGGTGGTGTTTCGTATCAGACGAGAGTCTGTTCAGACGTTGAGTAAGTAAAGATGAAAGTAAAAAGTACTCCCAGTATGAATTTTAGACCAGAAAAAAGATTTTATTTCTCTCTTCTTCTTGAAAAAATCCCAAGTAACATTTATGTAATGCTTTCTACCGTTAAATTAAGTAATGCTTTTGCCCACTTCAGTGGTGCATTTGACCATTAATTCACATACAATCCCGTCCGAATCGGATGAAATTCGGGTATCATCCAACTGTACGCTACACTCGAATCACATCCATTTGTGACGGTAATAACATTAAAATGTGTATGCAAATACACGATGTAATACGGGTTAAACCCGTAGGTAAGTTGTTGTATGTAAGATTTTCTCAGTCAGTTGGTCAATTTCAATATCCACACCAATATTTACCAAAGTCATAAATGGATCTAGTTCAAGTGAAGCGTACAGTTGGATGATACTCGAGGTGGGTCCATTTATGACCTTGTTTCACACGTGATTTGTTATTTTGTTATCATTTGATTCATAATCGTTTTTATATCCTTCTAATTGATTTGTTTTTACCGTTTTTTTCTACTTCCATTGTGACGTTAAAAATGACTGAAACTACACACAGTGCAAACGGTTCACCACGTTGCGTAGGTGGGAATAAAAAATATTTCTCTTGCAATACGCAAGATTGTCCAGAAAATGAGCCAGATTTTCGTCATCAGCAATGTTCTGAGTTCGATGAAAAACCATTCGAAGGTGTTCGTTATGAATGGGTACCATACTTGAAAGCACCAAATCCATGCGAATTGAATTGTATGCCGCGCGGTGAACGATTCTATTACCGGCATAAATCCAAAGTTGTCGATGGAACACGATGCAGTGATGAGTCTAACGATGTTTGCGTTGATGGTCAATGCCAAGTTAGTTATTCCTTCTTACGTTTTCATTCATTATTCAAAAACTATAAATTTTTGTAATTTATGTTGTACAATTTTAGCCGGTTGGCTGTGATTTGATGTTGGGGTCAACCGCTCGTGAAGATAAATGCAGAAAATGTGCCGGTGATGGAACGTCATGCAAAACAGTCGAAGGAACATTGACTATGGATGACTTGCAAAATGGTGAGTGATAAAAGAATGTTCCAATCTATAGGAAAAAAAAAAAATTGAACCAATATTTAACCGTCTTTTGATAATTTCCACTCATTAAGGCTACAATGACATTTTGTTGATTCCATCGGGTGCGACAAATATTCAAATCAAGGAAAAGGCTCCATCAAATAATTACTTGGCTATTCGTAACGCATCGAACCATTACTACTTGAATGGAAACTGGAGAATTGATTTTCCACGTCCATTAACATTTGCCGGTTCGATTTGGCATTATGATCGCCGTCCACAAGGATTCGCAGCTCCAGATCAGATTACTTGCCTTGGACCAACATCGGAAAATGTTTATTTGGTTCTATTGTCACAAGATCGTAACGTTGGTGTTCACTATGAATACAGTGTGCCTGAAGCAGCTGCCCATTTGACTGAACCAGATATATACATTTGGACTTTCTCACCATACGGTGATTGCTCGGCAAAGTGCGGAAGTGGCGTTCAAACGAGAAGAATCACGTGTAACAGCCAAACATCATTAAAACAGGTTGACGATAGCTTATGTAGCAGCGTTGAAAGACCAGCTGAAACACAACGATGCGGAGAAGAAACATGCCCTCCTCAATGGATAGAAAGCGAATGGAGCAAATGTTCAGCACCATGCGGAAGCAACGGTACACAAACCAGAGAAGTCAAATGCGAAGAAATTTTATCGAATGGGTAAGTGCTTTGTTCATTCTGGACTTAAAATAATTATATTGTTCAATCTACGAACTTTCAATCGATTTACAGAGAACACAAATCACTCGATGACGCTCAGTGTTTGCAAAGAGCCGGCAATAAACCAGCTACCGAAAAACAATGTAATGTCGGAAAGATTTGCCCACAATGGCACATTGGATCATGGAAAGGGGTAGGTGTTATAAATGTGTTTCATCGAATAGGAATTCATTCATTTAAACAAAAAAATTCTTCTTTTATAATTACAGTGCAGCAAATTGTGCGGTGAAGGTGTTCAAACCAGAGCTATCAAATGCTATCGCAAAAACGAAGGGAAAATTGAAGTATTAAATGAGGCCGATTGTCCTGAACCGAAACCAGAAACATCACAGAAATGTACTTTGCGACCATGCGAAGGTGTCGATTGGATCACATCACAATGGAGCGGGGTAAGTGAAACGATTTGATTCAGGATTTTCCATTGGAATCAACCGGCAGAAAATGTTTAATTGCTTTTTTCTCTCTCGATAAATTTAGTGCAAAACTTGTGGTTTAACGCAAGAAACACGAACAGCATTCTGTGCATCGAAATCGGGAAAAGTTTACAATGAAACATTCTGTGCGAATCGTCAAAAGCCTGAACTTAGTCGACCATGTAATCAAACAACCGAATGCGAATATCAATGGTTCTCATCACAATGGAGTAAATGTTCGGTGGATTGTGGTAAAGGCGTTCAAACACGAAATGTTGTTTGTGGAAAACTTGATGAAAGTGCAGTGAAACTGGCCGATGACGAATCAAAATGTGAAGCCAAAGAAAAGCCAGAAAATTCAAAGGACTGTGATACCGGCAAAAAATGCGAAGGTCAATGGTTCAATGGTCCATGGAGCGATTGTACAAAGAAATGCGGTGGTGGCAAGAGAACACGTAAGGTGCTTTGCATTGCCGATGGAAATGCCGTTAAACCAGCAAAATGTGGAGAAGACACAATTGCATTCTCATCAGAAGATTGCAACAAAGAACCATGCGTTGAGGACGAATTATTGCCAATTGATACAACAGCCAAACCGATTGAAGAAGATGACGAAGGTGAAGAATGGTGTGATGAAGACGAGGAAACAACCGAAATTGAAATTATTGAATCAACCGATGATAGCTCTAAATCAACATTCGAATCAACGACCGAACTTGAATCGTCGTCTGCATCATCATTGAGCACAGAAGAGTTGATGCAAAGTGACTCAACATTCCCGACTGATGACGCAAGCGATGATACAGTTCTGTTCTCATCGACATACGAAGGTTCGGGCGATGACGGCAGCGGTTCAACTGAAGTTCCGAGCTCAACGGACTCATCCAGCGATGGATCTTCAGTATCAGAAGGATCAACTGAATCTGGCACTGAATCAACATCCGAAAGCTCTTCATCGACTGAAGAAGAAACCAGTGAGGCATCAAGCACAGAAGGATTGTCGAGTTCAGTGGCTGCATCAGATAGTACAAGTGAAGAGTCCAGTTCAACAAGTGAATCAACTAGTGAACTATCGTCCAGCTCATCAGAGTCGAGCAGCGAATCTACAAGCCCCGAATCAACAGAAACCACCGACACAACTGAATCGAGCACCGAATTTTCGACTGAATCTAGCAGCGATTCATCCAGTTTAGACACTTCCTCCAGTACTGAAGCATCAACTGAAAGTAGTTCGTCGAGCGAAGCCAGCTCAAGTACGGAGAGCGAGAGTAGTTCATCTTCTGGTAGCACAGAAAGCAGTGATACAACCGAAAGTGGTGAATCTACCGAGAGCACCAGTGAATTTAGCACTGATTCATCGAGCTCTGAATCATCAGAAGGATCCACCGAGTTCAGTTCATCAAGTGAAACATCAACCATGGAAAGCAGCGAAGCCACCGAAAGTACCGAATCCACATCGGAATTCTCAACCGAATCTTCATCATTTGAATCATCCGAATCGACATCTGAAAGCGAAAGCACCAGTGAATTTAGCTCATCATCGACGGAAGAGGATATTTGGGGATCGACACCGTACACATTGGAAAGTATCATTACAAAGGAACAGACACCACGCAAATGCAAACCAAGACCACAGAAACCATCGGCTTGTCTCACAAGTAAATTTGGATGCTGTCCAGATAACACGACAGCAGCAAAGGGACCATTCGACGACGGCTGTGCCGTACCAGAAACTTGCAAAGACACCAAATACGGATGTTGTGAGGATGGTGTTTCACCAGCTAAAGGCAAAAAGAATAAGGGCTGTCCGGAACCATTGTGTACAAGCAGTTTGTTCGGTTGCTGTGCATCGGACGGTAAAACCGAAGCACAGGGATCTAATCAAGAAGAATGCCCAATCATTACAACGACTACCACAACGACGACTACAACAACACCTAAACCACAGAAATCCGACCAAAAAGACAAAGACAAACCAAAGGAAGCGCAAGCTGATAGCACTACTACAACTACAGCCAAACCAGGATGTACAACGGCTGATTGTGCTCCATGTGAAAAAGAACCATTTGGCTGTTGCCAAGATAAAACTACACCAGCTCACGGTCCAAATGGTGAGGGATGCTGTCTCAATTCACCATACGGTTGCTGTCCCGATAATTACAATCCAGCCAGAGGGCCAAACCTTGAAGAATGCGATTGCCAATACTCACCGTACGGATGTTGTCCAGATAACAAAACAGCGGCACGAGGCTATGATAATGCTGGATGCGGTTGCGAATACGAGAAATACGGTTGTTGCCCAGACAAAATTACTCCAGCTCAAGGTAAGAAAAGGGTAAACGGCAATTAAAAGTGTAAACAATTGAATCGACATTATTTCTTCTTTAAATTTTCGAATCAAAGGACCTAAATTCGACGGTTGCGCTTGCCATACATACCAATTTGGATGTTGTCCGGACGGAGTTACTATTCAACAAGGACCTCATGGCTATGGTTGTCATTGTACACAAACGAAATTCAAATGCTGTTCAGATGGAGTTACAGCAGCCACAGGCGAGAACTTTGAAGGATGTACATGTGCTACTAGCAAATATGGATGTTGCCCCGATGGCGTCACCGATGCACAAGGACCACAATTTGATGGATGCATGGATATTCCATCATCACCACAGAAAGCCTGTAGCGTTAGCAAGGACGGCGGCACTTGCAGCAATTACACCGTTAAATACTTCTTCGATATGGAATATGGAGGCTGTTCACGATTTTGGTACAGCGGATGCGGTGGCAATGAAAATCGATTTGAGACAATTGAAGAATGTAAGGGCACATGTGAACAGCCAAGTGGCAAAGATGCTTGCAAAGTTCCAAAGATTCACGGCCCATGTACTGGATACTATCAGAAATACTACTATGATTCAGACCGTAATACTTGTTCGCAATTCATTTATGGTGGCTGCTTGGGCAACACTAATAGATTCGAAACGTTGGAAGAGTGCCAGGGTCAATGTGTTGTAGACGAAAACTTGCGTAAGAAACTTATATTTTCTTTTGAAAAAATGTGAATTGGCTTAGAAAAAGAAAGTTTGATCAATTTGTAATTTATTACAGCTGCTTGTGAACAACCACTCGAAGAAGGCCCTTGCAGTGGTAACTACGAACGCTGGTACTTTGACAAAGAAGAGGATACATGCAAACCATTCCGATATGGTGGATGCAAAGGAACTAAGAATAATTTCGCAACTGAAGCAGCTTGTAAATATCAATGCAAGAACCCGTCAGTACAAAAAGGTAGGATAAATTTGGCGTTTTTTCAAAAACATATTCCCATTTAACAACGCATTCAAATACGGAATATACTTGCAAACCAATTCTAATAATGATTAGATTGTTCATTGATTATTTTCGGTTGTGGTAATAGTTTTGATTGATTTTGGTTTGGTTTGGTTTGGTTAATTCATGGCTTCATGCTTTCTTACAGTAAAAACAACGCTGTTTTTCTTCCCAAATTCCTTAATTAATCTCCACTAAATACTTGTATCAAACTAACAAAGAACTTAATTTAATTTCCTTATTAGCAACATGCGCCTTGCCTAAAGTCACTGGTGCTTGCGAAGCTAAGAAAGCTCGTTGGCACTTCTCACAAGGCGATAACAAATGCATGCCTTTCTATTATACTGGTTGTGATGGAAATAAGAATAGTTATGTAACATTAGAAGATTGTGAGACGCAATGTCCTCGTAACATAAGTAAGTAGTAATCTGGTGATATTGTAATCTATCCGTATGGTAATTGTGATCCGAATTAATGGTTTGATATGGTTGTTTTCTGAATTGTTGTAGCTAAAGATGCTTGCTTCAAAGCCGCTGAAACTGGAAATTGCCAAAACTATGAAGCCCGTTGGTACTTCGACACGAAAGAGGAACGATGCAGACAGTTTTATTACGGAGGATGCGGTGGTAATGATAATAACTTTGTCAGCGAAGAAGCTTGCCTTGGCCGATGCGAACGAAAACAAGTGCCGCCAACGCCACCACAACAGCCACAGCCACAGCCACAGCCAGAGCCACAGCCACCAGCGGAAGGTGAATTGGAACCGTTCAGACAAGAGCACTGCTTATTACAATCAGATAGCGGACCATGCCGAGCTCTTCAACCAAGATACTTCTATGACAGCCAAACCGGTGTTTGTGACGTTTTCGGGTACGGAGGTTGTGGCGGTAATCAAAATAACTTCCAATCGCTTGAGGATTGTGAGAATCGCTGTGGAAATGTACAAAACTTGTGCGGCTTGCCAGCGGTTCGTGGGCGCTGTCAAGAAAACGTTACACGTTACTTTTATGAAAGCCGCAACGATGAGTGCATTGCATTCGAATACAGTGGATGTCGTGGAAACAAGAACAATTTCTACTCAGTTCGAGAATGCGAGGATCAATGTAAACGTGAACGAGGATCAAAGCAACAGCCCGAACAAGAGCAACGACCAGATCTTGAAGGCGTTAGTGATTTGGTTTTGAATATTCGCTTATCAATTTATTTTCAATGCCAATTCTTTTCGTATCATTCAAATAGCGATTCAATCAACCGACACGAGAGGAACTTTGTCAAGCAGCAGCCGAACAATGCAACACATTGCGATGCCCGTACGGCATTTCCAAGACATACGATGAAAATGGATGCGAGCGGTGCGAGTGTGAGAACCCATGCCGCGGCTACTTGTGTCCAGATGATTCAAAGTGTGCCGTTGATTTCTCACAATACGATTCTTCATTTGCACCAGTTTGCCGTAAAAGTAAGGATGACAATTAAATTGTTTGTGCTTTTTTTTTATTGGCAGAAATTTAAAATAATAATCTCATTCTGCGGTTATAGTAAACAAACCAGGTGATTGCCCGTCATTACAAAATAGCACACAATGTGAATTGGAATGCTATAGTGATGCTGATTGCCGTGGAGACAATAAATGCTGTTCAAATGGATGCGGTCAAGTTTGCGTATCACCTGAATCATACGAAAATCGTCAACCGGAATATCCACCAACGCAGCCTGGACAATATCCAGAACCGCCGCAGGTGCCACAAGTTCCAGCACCAGTTCTTTTAGAAGAAAAGACCGAAGAAGAACTCAACGTTGTCCAGCCCGAAGGAGATGTTGCAACTTTGCGTTGCTATGCCACTGGTTATCCATTGCCAACCGTGTCTTGGAAGAAGGACTCAGTTGTTGTATGCATTTCAATGGAATTTTCAAATGAATTCAAACAATTTGTTCGGTTTGAGATTTATATTCTTTCTCTTTGTTATTTCAGATTAACACAAATCAAGGCCGATTTGTACTTACATCGGGCGGTGACTTGCAGATCGTTCAAGTTCATAAAACGGATAGCGGCACATATGTGTGCGTGGCTGATAATGGTATTGGTGATCCAGTTGAACGTGAAATCAAATTGGAAATCGCCGGTAAGTAATTTGATGATAATTGTGGTAATGGTTTTGCACAACCTAACATTCTATTCAGCTTCATTCAATTTAAAATATATTCTTGAGCACTTTTCATCTTGTTCTTGAATATAAAGCCAATTGGCACAGAACTTTCTCCTTTTTTGCACCTTCTATTCTAATCACTCCTATTTTCTGTTTCGCTATCTATTGTACTGTTATCGCTTAAACTTTGCATGGGGAAATCGGACAAAAATGACTTTGCACTAAATGCTAACAATAGAACCGGTGGCGACCGAAGCATACATTTTGGGTGATACTAACTCAAGTAAAATTGTGGAACTGAACAGACCAACACAAATCCGTTGTTTGGCTGGTGGTTATCCGAAACCAACCATAACTTGGTGGCGCGGCACAAATTTGTTGCCATTAAAATCGACACGTTTCGAAGTGAATTACAATTCAATTGATTTCAATAGTGTTGCACTATCCGATTTGGGACCATACATCTGCCAAGCATACTCGGGTCAAGGAAGACCCATGAGCATTTCCATTACACTCTTGGCTGTCGGCCAAGCGACTGCAGAAATGCCCGAAGACGAACAATACTTACAATATATTGTACCTGCACCGCCACAACAACATAACATATATAGACCAACATCACCGGTAGAAACGGAACCATCGGGTAAGGAGAGTAGATAATTTGATTTGGAAACGCTTTCAATTCTTGCTGTTATATTTCCACTTTCAACTAATTGATGCACACGCACGTACCCACTTTCCAAAGCTAATTGATCACATTTGCGTTTTGATTATTTTTTAACTAAATGATTCTTTTAATTTGATTTTGCACAGAGCCAATTTCGGTGAACATAGTACTACCAAGCGGTAATACATTTGTGGCTGGTAACGATGTGAGCATTCGATGCGATGTCAGAGGATATCCAAGACCGTATGTAACATGGACCAAAGACGGTGTTGACGTTCATGAATCACAACGAATAAGAATATCTGGTAAATACTCGTCTTCGAGAAATCCTGGTTTTCCACTGGGCGAACTCATATTCTCTTCAAATTCATTGAACTGAAATGAATTTCCCTTTGATTTTCAATAATTGAATCGAATTAAATCTGTTAATGTTTTGTTGCAGAAGCAAACACGCTGACAATCTATGGTATTACGACCGACGATTCTGGTAGCTATAAATGTTCAGCTCAGAATCGATTCAGCTCTGCGTTCCATGTAGAGCAAATCAATGTTGAAGGTAATTTTACAGTTCAAATCATCACATTTGAAATTGTACACGTGCAACGATTCAAATAACTCGTGAATTTTTTTCTTTTTTTTCAATCCATTTACAGGTGCCTACGTACCGGCCAATTGCGTAGACAACGAATTCTTCGCCAATTGTAAACTTATTGTTAAGGCTAAATATTGTGTACATCAGTACTATGCCAAATTCTGTTGTAAATCTTGTACACTTGCCGGTCAGCTGCAGTCAAATTTTGATACAAACCTCTTAAATTAAATAAATAAGACTTTTTCCGAGGGAATAAGAACAATTAGACAATAGTAAAGCAGATTAACAAATCGAATTGTTAACGACAAAAAAAAAAAAACAGAACAAACAAACTTTAAAGCAATAAGAATGGAAAATGAACCCAAAACTAAGTCAATGGACATCGAATCCATTGGCAAAACATTTAGAATGAACGAATTATTATTATATAAATAAGAATTCTTCTCTTGAAACTATGTTACCCGATTTTGAATAAAGTGCATTAAATCCGTTTTTAATGACATCGAATAATCACAAATTTACAAGTAATAAACGCTCAATTGACGCTCTCTTTTTTTTTCATTGCATTTTGTAAAAAACGTACCTAAACAATTTTTTTTTTTTTGCTGAAAAAAAGCAGAATATTGGATCAGCCATGTAATAACTGGATTCTTGATTGCTTGATCTAAGAGATTTTTGTGTCTAAACTGAAAGTAAGTTTGTCATTGTCACCGCTGTGGTTCAAAGTAAAGCGGAAATATCCATCTTTTCAACAAACAGCATTCAATTCCACGTTTCAATAAAACGTTCTTGCATCGTATGACCTGCTTTCATATTCTATTCGTACATTGTTTCAAAACCAACCGATAAAAATTTCGTTTTTTTTTCTCGCAATGTATACATGAATACATTGTATTCACTTGAAACTTTTTTTCCCAATTTCTCAATTGATAAATTTCATTTTGATATAGAAAAAAAAATTTATATTCATGTCTTTGTAAATAAAACAATTTTTTTTAACAAAAATTATGAACAGATGTACTTCTATTTCTTCAGTGCGATAAACATGTATACAAAGTACAGACTCAAATCATCGTACCACAGATGCACATCACAATGCTATCTCTCATTTTTATACGTTCATTCAGATGATTTTTTTTTGGATCCCAATGCTTTCAATCGTTTCGAAATGGCTGGTTGCGTGACTCCCAATGATTCCGCGAGCTCTTCTTGCGTTTGACTTGGATGTTCATCCAGCAATGCCTCCAAATCGGCGTCCTCGAAAATTTTCTCTCTTCCACCACCATGCCGGTCTTCGACGTCAAAATCGCCACTTTTGAAGCGGTGAAACCACTCACGACACGTTCTTTCACCAAAAGAGGCTTCACCATAAATATCCGACAGCAATCGATGGGCCTCAGCTGCAGATTTCTTCGAATTAAAGAAGAAAAGCAAAATTTCCCGCAAATGACGCGAATTTGGCTCAAAAGTTGACATTTTCAATTGAAAAAAAAAAAAAAAATGATGTCGATAAAAATTCACAAATCTAACGATGCCCAAGCTTACCGTATGACGTTTTAGAGCTGATATTTTTCACCAGCACTTACCGCTTGAGTCATCTGTTGGAAAACGGCGGAAGCAAAGTTATACACCCAATAATTTTTCATTTTTAAAATACAAATACAATGAAGGAAAGAGAAAAATAAAAATAAATGAAAATTAAATATTCCATTTTACAAGTCAAATATGTGTCCGGATGAAAACGTTGGAAATCGTTTTGCTTGAAATCTTGAATTCAGATTCAAAATATCGATTGTTAAAACAAAATAGTTTGCTTTGAAAATCGATATTTTGATTCTGAATCCACGATTTCAAGCAAAACGATTTCCAACGTTTTCATCCGGACACACATTTGACTTGTAAAATGGAATATTTAATTTTCATTTCTTTTTCTTTCTTCTTCATTGTATTTGTATTTTTAAAATTTAAAAATTACAAAAAAAAATCATCTAAATGTTTTCATACGGAAACAATAGTTTATTTCGATATAAAATTGGCAAAAAAATGTGGAACGCTTCATGCTTTTGCGTGTCATCCTTGCGCAGGGGCCATGCTAATCTTCTCTGTATCGTTCCAATTTTAGTATATGTTCTCGACAAGCGAGAACGAATATAGACTGTCTCAATTCGTATATATACTTTTTTCGGTGAATTCGTCGCCTTGCGAATTATAAGGTCGAAACGAAAATGAAAAACAGCTCAGACACCTCCATTGAGTTTGTGTTCTTGCTCTACAATGGTTGTTGTACTAGATAGATTCAATGGCTTGTATGCTGGTTCGTGTTTATATGTTTATACCCTTCCAAGCTTTTAATTCATATTTCTTCAAATTTTATTTTCGAAAAATTTTACCATGGAAAAAGGAATAAAAATTTAGAATTGAAAAAAAGAAAAGAAATGAATATACTTTAGTAAAAAAAAAAAATGTTCGCTATCGTCAGTTTCGAACTACTGTCACAACAGATTCGTAGCGGCAAATGAAGGCATGAAGTATTTACTATAAGCAGAGTATTTTCAAAACAAAAAAATTGTTAGATCGTTTTGTTTTTCTTTGGAAAATAAATGTAAACAAAAATATCGTTTGAAAATGCAAAGCAAATACATCCAAATGCCGGGTTCACATTATGAATATTACGATGTATTTTGTATGACTGCAACTTCGTGTATTTTCTATGCACTTCATATTCCTTTTTGTTTTGACAGAACAAATGTTCAAAGAAGATTATCTATTGTTATCATGTTTTCATGCATATTAAATTAATTATCGTTATTTAAATGAAAGCATTCTTAAAAAATGGAATAATTCAATAATATTCCTTAAGAATGCTTTCATTTAAATAACGATAAAAACATTTCAATTTGTTCATATCAACATAGAGATTGTTCATATCAACAGATTGTTCTTTTGGTATACAATTCAATTTAATATCACAAGATGGTGCCAAATGCTATTGCATATTAACTTCATGGCAAGCATTTACCACGAAATTCTTCTAATTTTTTATTGGTAGTTTAAAAACAAATTTCATATTTTCAATTGGAAAAGAGTTTTTGCATTGTTGCAGACACCAATAAATCAAAAAGCCCATTTAAATCGAAATAAATAAAGAAAATTAGATGCGCCATCTATTGAAAAAACACCCAATTAGATTATGAAGCAATGCGATTTTAAAACAAACTGGGAAAAACGTATTTTTTCCGTTGCAAGAAAAATGTATTTTTCTACTATAGTAAACTTGAAATTCTGATTTTGTACAAAAAATTCAAACCGCAAATGTAAAAATGCAACAAAAATTCACACACGAAAGTCCTACGAAAGTTGGCTAAAACTGAAAGTGGAAAGTCGTTCATATATATATTTAAAAATCATTTTTATTATTCTATTATATAATTGGAAGTATGAACTTTAAGTTCCATTGAAAATTTATAACGTACAATAATAACTCAAATTTAATCCTTTGATCTTCATGCTGAATACTACGAAAACAAATAGGAAAAGAAAATCCCTCACAATAATTTTAATGTGACCATTTCGATATTTTCGTTCTTTTGTTGAGTTTATCATTTTTTTTCTTTCTTTTTTTTTCAAATTGCAATTGTGTGTCGCTATGGTTTTAAATTTTATACATTGAGACTTGTTAGTAGCGTGTACAAAAGTAAAAGTAAAAGTAAAACATATGTTTGTGGCTAATATTAGTTTTTAATTCGAACCATTCATCAAAAGAAATAAATGGCCATAACAAATGTACTGCGAGTACTGTATTGATTTGAAAAGAGTTTGCAAAATGTTCAGGGATCTTTTGTGCCTCTGCTGGTTGCCAATCGTTTATATGCGGTAAATGAAATTTACTGTGGTGGCCAGTTTGGTGCATGTGGATAACCACCTGGTGGAGCTTGATGAGGATAGCCGCCCGGTTGTTGTGGTTGTTGTTGAGCATATGCACCTGGATACGTGCCATAGTTTTGCGGTTGTGGTCCTTGTGGGAAGTTCTGATAGTTGTATGCATCTAAAGAAAACGAAACAGTTTGACTAAATTTATTTCATAATGTAAGCGATTGCGGACACTTACTTGCAGGATAAGGCAATGTTGCATATGGATTGAAACTCTGTGGCATTGGTGCGACATACGTTGGATATGGAGCTTGTGGTGTGGCTTGGTATGGAACCGGCATTCCTTGAATCTGGCTTGGATACGGTACCGAACCACTTGGCTGTGATGGAGTTGGCTGTGGCGGAGCTGATGATCCTCCTTAAAAATAACAGTATATATTGAAACTTATGGTATTGTGTCATCAAATATGCCGAATACGTTTACAATGCGTCAGTATTCTATTCTACTTGGTTAATCAATAACATACATTTGGTTATGAGTTATGTGACATGAACTTTTAATACCAAAACGTAGTAACAAAAGCAAGCGGTAACTAAACAAAGATTTGTGTGTTATTTTCTCATTCTTTGAATTATTTGATTATTATTTTTGTCATGTTGAACATAAAGCAGTAAGCGGATTCCACAAGCCAAAACAAACATATTCACAAACTGAAGCAACACTACAACTAATAATGCCAATTATTTGCTAGGGTGTAAATTATGCGGTTAGTTTCGAAAGCCGAAATAGCTAAGAATGTTACCGGTAGTTGCTCCATACGATGGAACCGGTGGACCACCCGGTGCCGATGACATTCGGCTCGATTCTTCGGTCAAGGATTTCATTAATTCGTCCTTTTCGGTTTTACGTGCAAAACAGAAGTCAGACACTTTGTTCTGGAATGTGATTAACAACTGCGTTAAATCGTTGTAGAATTTGGTGCCTTCCTTCAAGTTATTTTGCAACGTAATAAATGCATCATATGCACTGGCCAATTCGCTGAGGAATGCATCACGGGATCCCGAACCGCCGCCTGTCTCATTGACAAAGGCTTGATGAGCTGTTTGAATTTGATGAACCAACGACTCTTGCCGTGCAATACTATCGTTAACTTGTTCACGCAATGGAGCCAATGCCTTTCCAATGGAACCAACTGAAATGCTTGGCTCATTGATAGCACCGTCTTGAGCCAAAGCACTCAAGAATTGATCTTTCAAATCAATTGTAGCCGATTTGAGTTCGGATTCAATTACTTCACGTTCGGCTTTGATTGTGTCCACGTTGTCCATCAATTTGCGTAATTCATGCACAGAGCTACAATTCGAAATGTTTCCGCCGCTGCTAACCGGACAAGCATTTTCCAGTTCAGACTCTGGTTTCGACAGCAATTCCATTCCACGTGATTGTTTATCAAATGTATCACGAACCGTTTTATCGGCGGTGATTGCATTGCGAATAATTTCACGATATTTACCAGCATTCGAACGGAACATTTCAGTTAGTTTTTCGGATGGTGTACGAGTCCATTTCTCTTTGAATTGTGTCCGTAAACGTGAATCAGCTTCAGCCTCCTCGTTCAACATGCGATCGCTTTCATCTAAAATTTCTTGATTACGTTTCAATGATTCGGGCAAATCATTGATCAATGTGCGCAAATCATCGATTCCACCCTTCTCTCGTATGTCTTTTGCTTTATCCAAAACCGATTGAGGTAGAGCATTACCGCTGGTAACTTCAATTGCTGCTGGTAAATTCAGACTTGCCAAAACTCCGTTCAAATTTTGCGTTGCCTCACGCAATTTCATAACTTCAGCGTTGACAATCTCATTTTTACGCGCATCAGATGCAGAGATTGCTTGATGCAATGCAACTGGCACCAAATCGGCGAACAAATCTTTTGAATTCGGCGACAATGGCGTTGTGTATGGCAATGCTTTAGCCAATTGAGCCTTACCCGGTCCATCGAGTGTTTTCACATCGGGTATGATTTCATTGTAAATGAAATCGTTGTCTTTCTTCGATTCGGTTAAATTGCGTTGTGCTCGAGATGCAAATTCTTCGTACAAACTTGGTTTGCCTGAACGAGACTGAGCAGCTTTGAAGAGTTCGACAGCATTCTGCAATCGGGCAATCTCTTCACCGATCGACTTATTGTTGCGACAAACCAAACTCTGGTATAATTGAGTAATGGCATGGAAGCCAGCTTGCTTTCCAGCAACCTAAATAAACGATTTGATGGTTTTTTATTTTCTTAAAAAAAAAAAAATTCAAATGAATTTTCTTACCGTTGCAATCCAGTCCTTATCCCAAATTGAACGTAGTGAATCCTTCTGTAGGCCACGCAAAGCTTCTGCGTACAGTTCTTCACATTGGCAAGCTAATTTGGCAATGATAAGATCCTTCATGCTATCCTTAATAGCTTTCATGACAAAGATTTCCTGTGCCTGGGCCAACATTAAGTTGGATAAGACTTGTAATGTCTCTGGGTTCAAATCGGGCGTTGGTTCTTGTGGAATTGCAAATGGCGTTACACCTCTCAAATGCGAAAAAATTCCAGCCGACTGTTGCAATAATTTTGTAGCCAATTTAAGACCATCATCGTTGTCAGTGCTTTGTGCGGCGGCAACAGAACTTTGCAATGCAGCAATGTTGAATAGAACACATTCCTTTTCGTATGCCAAAGAGGTTAATGCTGTGTTGACGAAACAAAATTGCATTGATTATTTAGTAAGCAACGAGAGCTGTTCATAGGTTCAAGAGAACCATATTGGTCACTTACTTAAACTGATTCGACCACCAAAAATTGATCCTTTGTCAAATGCATCTTTCCACTTGAATGGAATTTGCAATTCATGAACCGGAATTTTGGCTTCCAAAGCAGTTAGTTGATCATAGTAACTGTATATTGAAGGAGAAAAAAATATACGTCAGAATAAAGTAAGCTAGTATATTTAAACCAAGTAAAATGAATGCACTTGTTTGCGGGCACAGATAATTTTTTTTTAATGGATGTTCAATGCGCACATTCATGGAATCATATCGTTTGATTCAAGTACTTCGAGTGGGGAGAATATTTCGTGTTTTTCTAATTTGGCTGATACGATTACAATTTCGATCAGCATTCCACTACAATGATATTTTTTCCTATGATATTTCACCACGATTTGTGTATGTGCGGTAGACTGTGAATGAGTCTACCGATATGACTCATGCTCTTTCCTATGATACAAAACACGTAAGATGTGGTAATCGTTTGGCAATATTAATGTAAATTGGCTCAAACAGCAAACGAAAAAAAAAAAAACGTACGCATACACACATACTTACGTACACAGAGTGGCATACAGTATACACAAACATAAACTTTGTTTTTTCGTCTACAAGCGAAAATTCGCTGGCAGCCCAAAACAGAATACAAGAGTGACGAAAACCAAGTTCAATTAATGAAATACATACCCATAAAGAATTTCCAACGATGATTCGTATTTTTCGAACGCTTTCCAAATGGCTGTGTTCCTCAATTTGCTGAATTCATTTATCGCTTCCGAATGATCCGCTGCATTTGCATCAGTTCCACTGTACGAACTTTGAATTAGATGTTTTAGTGGCTTAACAACATCCACTTCGGATGGTTTTTTCAAAGGTACAACCAATAACTCGGACATGTTTTCAGCACCGACACTTCAAAAATAGCTAAACAGACTGACTGAGTGTCAATGGGCTTTGTTGTTTATGTACAAACGACACAAAGTCAAATTGGAAAACTTTACACGATAAAAAATGATTCACGTTTGTTGCCACTGTCGTACGTCTATTCGATACTATCGAATTGAAATCAGAAGTTTCAGACAATTTTCTCAATCAAAAATGTCAAAAGCAAAAAAATTATTTATTTTTTTTTCAACAAAGATCACAAAATTTCAACACCTTTCTAGTGACGATGTACTCGAAATAAGTATGACGTGATGGGCTGCTGTCGGTGTTTTGTATGCATTGACACAGAACATTTGTTTGTATTTCGTTGCTGTTGGCTGATTCGGGCGTTCATTTCATGTTTATTATATTGGCAACATTGCATCGTATGGCTTGGAGCCATTTTTGAAATTGCTTTATATTTTCAATCAACAGATTGATTGAAAATTGTATTTTGGATGAAAAGAAAACCAAAGTTGGACCAAGAAAAAAGAAACAATCACTAGGAATAATCATTATTAGAATTAATACATACTGCAAATCACAATACAATTTTGTGATTTCGGCATGATTTTCATTGGTTATACTTGCAGCGATGCCTATCAGTTGATTGTAGTTTCATGAAACCTTCATGTGGTTTGAAGAAAGCGACATGTGTGAAAATCATATTTTATGTTTTAAGGCCTATCTACAGCAAAATCATAGCAAGCAATTATTAACACTATGACTGTTCTTCATATTTGCAACATATTACTGTTCTTGGGGGACTCCAGGGCCCCCAAGATACTTCATATGAAATCTGGACTGTGATAAGAGATAACAAATTAGTGTCTGCAGCAAAGTTGTAATACTCAAAGTTTGCTATAATTTTGGTGTAACAAATATTGCTTATCTCTTATCAGTTCCGCGAAAAACGCGAAAAAACGCAAAAATCGCAAAATTTTCCCACATCGTTTTAGTGAAGATGATAAGAAGTAAGAGACTTGCCTCTTCGACAGAAATGTAGAGCAGCTTGAGTACTACAAGTTCACCATAGACATGAAATCGTTATCTCTTATCAGTTTCGCGAAAAATGATTATCAAAAACTCGAATTTTTCGCGTTTTTTCGCGTAACTGATAAGAGATAACGACTTGATGTCTGTGGTGAAGTTGTAGTACTCAAGCTGCTCTACAAATTTGCCGAAGTTACCAAGTCGTTATCTTTTATCAGTTTCATGGAATACGCGAGAAACCGCAGAAAATCGCGAAAAAAACGCGTTTTTTTCCTTATCATTTTTCACGGAACTGATAAGAGATAACGAGATGGCGTCTAAGGCAAAGTTGTATTTCTGGTTGAGTACTACAATTGTTCCGATTCATTATTTCGTTAACTCTTATCAGTTCCGTGAAAAAACGATAAGGAAAAAAACGCGTTTTTTCGCGTTTTTTTGCGGTTTCTCGCGTAATTGATAAGAGATAACGGAATAATGAATCAGAATAATTGTAGTTCTCGACCAGAACTACAACTTTGCCTTTGACACCATCTCGTTATCTCTTATCAGTTCCGTGAAAAATGATAAGGAAAAAAACGCGTTTTTTCGCGGTTTTCTGCGGTTTCTCGCGTATTCCGCGAAACTGATAAGAGATAACGACTTGGTGTCTTCGGCAAAGTTGTAGAACAGCTTGAGTACTACAACTTCACCGCAGACATCAAGTCGTTATCTCTTATCATAGTCCAGTTATAATATAAAATAGCCATGGGGCCCTGTGGTCCCCCAAGAACAACAGCGTAACAAGTTTTGCGGCAGGCTGTATTTTACACATACTCACACATATGCATATGTTTTTTTTTCATTCGTGTAGAGAAATGTTCAATCTATACAATGAGACTTAACTCCGGTTGGTTTATACACTGTTTAGTACTTTTATTCAACTTTAAAGTTCGCTGGGGGCCCTGGGTGCCCCAAGAACAATCATAGTGTTAAGTAACTAAAACTCAGTCACTATTGTCGAATAATTTTCACATGGGAAAATATTGTGTGATATTTTTTTCGCGTTCTTTTGGTGTCTGCTTGTTACAAATAACATTTCCTGGGGAAATTTCGAATTTCTTCAATGAAACAAATTCGACCATTCGGATATTGTGATTGGCTTACTTTATTTAGAAGGAAAAAAAGATTTAAATATGTTGAAGATGAACATTTATTGAATTTTTCGGATTGTAAACGTAGCATACGGATTGAAGCTCTCTGCCATTGTTATATGTGAATACAATTCAGCCTGTATTGTTATCGTTTCATTCTGATTGTCAGTTTTCATAGTCCAATTTGAGTTTTTATCTTCGATAATGGATTTTATCAAGTCAAACTTCTCCGTCTTGCGAGCATTACAAAAATCAGATACTTTTTGCCGAAAAGTGATCAGCAAATATGTTAAATCACTGTAGAATTTTGTGCCTTCCTTCAAGTGTTTCCGCAACGTTATAAATGTATCGTATGCACTGGCCAATCCATTTAAAAATGCATCACGAGCCTCAGACCTGTCGCTACATTCTCGTTCGAAGTCATGATAAACGCTTTGGGTTTTTTCAATTAAAACCTGTTGTTTCAAGACATTTTCATTCACCCGTTTGCATAACGGGGCAAATATTTTCCGAATGGATACATCTGAAATGTCTGACTCATTGATTGCACCGTCTTCAGCTAGAGCATTCAAGAATTGATCTTTCAAATCAACAGTGGCTGATTTAAGTTCGGATTCAATCTGTTCACGTTCAGCTTTGAGTGCATCAACGTTATCCATCAATCGACGTAACTCCTGAGCGGAGCGAGAATTTGAGATATTTCCATCGCCAAATCCAATCGAACATTCATTCTCTAGCTGTGATATGGGCTTCGATAACATTTTCAAAACGTGAGCATGTTTCTCGAATGTTTTACGAATTGCTTTATCTGCCATAACAGCATTGTGAATGATTTCACGATATTTGGCTATATTCGAACGAATCGTTTTGGTCAGCTTCTCTGACGGTTTTTGAGACCATTTCTCCATGAATTGTGTTCGTATGCGTGTATCAGCATCAGCCTCTTCGTTCAACATACGAACAACCTCATCTAAAACTTCTTCATTGCATCTCAATGATTCGGGCAATTCATCGATCAATTTGCACAAACCATCGATTCCACCCATTTCTCGGACGTCTTTTGCTTTATTCAAAATCGATCGAGGCAATGTGCTACCCACTGCAACTTCGATAGTTGCTGGCAAATTAAGGCGAACCAATGTTTCATTTAATTTTTGCGTTGATTCTCGCAATTTCATCATCTCACCACTGATTATTTCACTTTTACGGACATCAATAGCTCGGTGCAAAACAATTGGTACCAAATGAACAAAAAAATCTCTTGAGTTTGGCGATAATGGCGTGGTGAATGGTAAAACTTTTGCCAATTGGTGCTGTTTCGGCTCCACGAGTGTTTTCATATTGGGCACAGTTGCGTTATAAATGAAATCATTATCCTTCTTCGATTCGTTTAAGTTTTGTTGTGCTTGGAATAGAAATTCTTCGTACAAATTCGGTTTGCCAGAATGTAATTTAGCCGCTTCAAATCGCTCAGTGGAGTATTGTAATCGGGCAATTTCTTCACCAATGGCCTTTCTGTTGCGGCACACTAAACTTTGATAAAATTGGGCAATGGCTTCGAATCCACACTGTTTTCCAGCAACCTAAAGTATTTGAAATTTTAATATATGGATGCAAAATATGCATATGTTTTACGTCAACTCTGTACTCTTACCGTGTTTATCCAATCCTTATCCCAAATTGATCGAAGTGAATCTTTTTGTAAGCCTCGTAAAACTCGTTCATACAAATGTTGGCATGAGCTCGCCAGTTCAGCAACAGTTGACTCTTTCATACTGTGTTTTATGGCTTTCAATACGAAAATCTCCTGAGCCTGTGCTAACATTAAGTTTGACAGCACCTGCAATGTGTCCGTGTCCAAATCACATGTTGACAAATTGGAAAACGATGTGACACTCGTCAAGTGAGCAAAAATGCCAGCACTTTGTTGTAGTAATTTGATGGCCAATCGAAAACCATCGTCTCTGTAAGTACCTTGGGCCGCAGCGATTGCACATTGCATTGCAGCAATATTAAACAAAACACATTGCTTTTCATAAGCCAATGATGGCAAAGCTGAACGAGTAAAAATCGATATTAATTTATGGAATTCATTTTTTCTCTTCAATAAATACTCTTACTCACTCAAACTAATTCGGCCTTTGAACATCTTCTTATCGAATGCATTTTTCCACTTGAATGGAACATTTTGTAATTCATGCATCGGAATTTTCGATTCCAAAACCAACAGCTGATCATAATAGCTAAAATAAAATTGATATATATATATCAAAGTTGAAATGAGAAAATGATAATTATATTTTTAGGATGTAATTCAAACACTCGCGCGCCATTGCAATACGAAAATAATAAATGAATAAACATGATTAGAATAAATCGCCTCATAATAATTGATAATAATAAATAACCGGCGGTCAGGTCATCATAAAAATAGAAAATCAAACGTACTTATAAATAGTCTCTAACGAATCGATTGTGATACACGGTCGTACTAATGCCGTATTTCTTAACTTGCTCAATTCATTTACCGCCTCCGAATGATCGATTACGTTCGCATTATTCCCATTATACGACCTATTAATTAGATTCTTCAATGGCTTTGCAATATCCACTTCAAATGTTTTTTTCAACGGTACAACGAGCAATGCAGCCATTTCTATGATTATGGTTATTTATTCGTTAAAAAAAAAAAACTGAAAAGGAGCAAAACTTCAGCAATTTTTTTGTTTTGTTTTCTAAGACGAACTTTTTCTAACTTGTAGTGCTGTGTGGTTGGGACACGACTAATTACAGAATATATTTTCTCAAAGCATTTCGGGAGTGCAAATTTTTGTTTCGAAGCATGAGATCCAAACTCATTTATGTGTATGGGCGATACCTACCTGGTTGGTTTTGCCAAAATATAATCTATCACAATACGCACGGTACACAATGATATGTATAAATGAACCCTGAAGGAATTTAACATAAGTCGGGTTCAAATAGCATTGTCGTGTCATAATTTCTTTGTCCGTCCATTCATTTGTTCTGACATAGGAATATTACCGGATTAACAAATGCAAATGTTCGCTCAATTTGGTTCTAAAAACAGAATGGAATATGCATATTCATCAAGTAGTAAACACATTTACCTCCCAGACTGTTTATATCTGTCCATTTTTCAAAGAAAACAGCAGACGAATTTATCACTCTACCTAAAATGCATGTCTGAAACTTTTTTGCATAGTAATTCATAATTATGAGTCTAAAAGATGACTGAATTCTGTTTGATAAACTAAAAAGTCAATTGAAAACGAATTCGTACGGCCATTGTATGATTGTTCGTCATAAATTCGCTATGTATCAATTACAATAGCTTTGTTTACACTCGCTGAACTTGAAATGTTCGACTTGAAATGGGCAACACGATTGGTGGATGGTTTATGGCGAATAAATATGAAATAATGTGCCGCATTGTTTAGCCTTGCTCTTGCTGTAATTGAAAATAGAATGAGAATGGAAAAAAAATCGTCGAACCCGTCGACCAGTAGCAAATTTAATGTGAATCGTTTTTGGTTTCTTGGCTCCAGTCAGACTGTTGTCGATTTTTCCTTCTCCGGCTCCTTTTTCCTGTTGACATTACGTACATTAATACCGTCATCATGTTGCAAAGTCAGAAATCAATAGAAGCATCGTTGTGCCGTCCATATTCATATACTTGCCATAGAAATGCGACTGTATTTTCTTCTCCTGTTGAAAATATAAAGTCCAATTAAATATTCATAAATCGAGGGAAAAAATTGCTGAAAATTATACGGCAATTTGTGCGGGTCGGGGGTCGTTCACCGACCAATATAGCCGCACTTCAATAATAACAACACAATGAAATCGATGAACATGACCTATGCGACGCTTGTACATGACATTTAAACCATTGCATGTCTAAAATGCAGCGCAAAAATCTGTCGGAGTTCAAATGGAAACTAAAAATTGTTCAACGATTGCATTTCCATGTGATTGAGTTTAACCATGTTTCAACAAAACCCTTCATAAATATTTAAATAGTAACTCGTAATTCTATGATAAGAATGCACTTGATAAGTATACAAGAAATATACACTCGTCCAAAATACAAAATATTACGCAGAAAAAAGAAGAAATGTTAGAGAAACGAACTAACAATCAAGTCAAAGTGAAATGTCTCGATTTTCTTAATCGTAGCATCATTGAGATGGAGCATTTGTCAATATTGCATACGTGCTCGGCATATTTGTAAGCACATATTTTTCGGAGGCTCAAGTCAAACAACCGAACAGGTGGCTTTTCAAGTATCGCTGGAAAGAGACATTGGTGGTTTGAGTGGAGAACACTCAGCAACATTTGTGATTATTGCTGACGCCAACGGAAAGGCACACAAATCTAAATTGCAAAACCGAGAGAGAGAGAGAGAGAGAGAGAGAGAGAGAGAGAGAGAGAGAGAGGGAATGAGAGCGAGGAGCTAGAGACAGACCGAAGATCACTTTGCGTAGTTGTTGAATGTTTGTTTTTCCTTTGCAAGCAACGTACATGTAATTAGTATGGTGTTGGTGCTTTACACTTCTTTAATGTAATGTCCCAATCAATATTTGTCAACATGCCCAAAATCCAAGGAGCCATGATTGATAGAAGAATCCACGCAAATGCACACACAGAGATAGACACATACAAATAAACTAAATTAATTCGCCGGTTCGCAAATAAATAACCATTTGGATAACGGAAAATGGAAGTAAGTTGAAATTGCAATTTCCTTGCCTATTTCCGATAAATAATTGGAATTTCCAATTATAGCATAAGTGACAGCGAATCAAAATCAAATTCGAAATTCGTGAATATTTGAGCAAAGGAAACGATTTTGACGAAGCGAGAAATAAAAAGAATATATCTCCACATATATATATATATATATATATATATATATACCTTGGCACAGTCAATCGGCCACAAACAATGTCAGTGCATGATAGATGCCTCACATTCATGCTAAGATAACGGTGTCTCATGCAGTTTTTCTTGCAATCCAAAAACTATTAAACCAAATACGTGCTATCACGATTTTGCTCTTTGTTTTCTTTTCTTTTTCTGCTACCTCTGCTGCCGTTGCTTCTTGCTCGCATTGACAATCGAGGAGAATTCGCGATTCTGACATTGCAAAAGAGGAACGGTTGGAAAAAAAGCGAAGAAATTGCTCTAGTTCGCACATAGTATTATCACAATTGTGATGATTTCAAATATAAATGTAAATAAATCTCGTTTTCTTTTGGTATATCGAACGCTCTCTATCAGCTGTATATGATGCTCATACAGAGCGGTTCATACTCAACACTTGGGCACGCAACAACATGAACAACACGGAGAAACACAAATACAATCTATACGGAAAAACGGCAGAAAATTCGATGGAAAACTGGGGAAAAAGCGCTCTCGGTGAAAACACTATTTGTCCGTACTATCACAGCAACAACAGCGACAGCACACACACGGCAAGTGGTACATCGAAATGGAAAATTTGTGACTCAGTCTGAAACGTAGTTTCGTCCAACACGCAAGCTAATTTTCTTTGCTTTCCATCAAATAAAACGGGAAAAAACCAGATACATTACAGTCCCATCAAATCTGTCAGATGTTTGAAATTTTTCACAAAACATCTTTATCAATGTGAACTGTTTTATGCTTCGTTCGATTAGTTCATATGGGAATACATTCCGAAATTCGTTTCACTTTTTGATTAAATCTGATATTTGAGTTTTATTTTGACAATTGTGAATCGTGTATTTACGTGAAGTTCAAGGGCTGTAATGACTTATTAAAAATCCAATTATACCAAATGTGACAAAGTGCAATGAGAATATATTTCGGTATATTTGTTTGTAATTAATCCAAATGTCATTGAGCCTGAGCTGTGATAGCCACCGACGATAACAAATTGTGTTGCCAAGGGAAAATCACTATTTACTACGATATTGCCGATTCCTCGGGAAAGGTAAACAGCTTTTGTGTATTTCGATGGAGCGTAAATGAAAAACCTACGGCAATTCAAGCGAAGAAAATGGAAAAATAGTCCGAAGAGTGTGTCAATGTTGTTCTGATGTCCACTTCTAACTGGACTAAATTTTATTTATTTCTGAAGTACAAGTCGATAACCTTTTGTCCTTCTGAACATAATTGAAACTAGTTCATCTCACTGAAAACCTGTTTACATTAATATTTTTCATTCATTCACAGAAAGTGACGTGCTAGAAGTTGAATCGATTTCAAGAAACGGCTGAAGATTATAAAGATTCTTCTGCAAATCCTCGTCGAAAAGCAACGTCGTCCGTTAGAGTTGAAAGATTGAATACCTTGACCGCTCTAGAGCTCTATCAACGAATTTCAAACACATAACACATTTCATAAAAACGAAGTCTTTTTTCAAAGTACCGTATCAAACTTTCAGTGAACTATGTAAAGGATTCACACAGCACAGGATGTCGCACGTAAGTACAATTTTAAACCGTTATCTTTACCGCATCTTCTATTGTGATTTTTCGAACAATAGGAAATATTTTCTTAACCTCCGTCTCAGCTCAAAATCATTTACACTCAAATGCTAACGAACAATACAATTCATCGAGCTATTACACTGCGAAAAGTGCCAAGAATAGATAGAGATAGTGAAAGAAAGAATAAAATCCAACAAATTCGTTGTGTTTTTTTTTTGTTTTTTTTGTTCAATCGACAGTTTGAGATGGCTGTTATTAGAATAGTTCGTGTTGTCGTTGCTATATCCTCAGAGGCCATTAAGCAATTTCATTAATTTTCAACAAGTGTCAAAGAATTGATAAAATTTTAATAACAATTGACACGTTTCAATGCCATCAAAATCAAGTTTTAGATGAACAAGAAGGGATGAACATACTTTCATCATTTTCCATTATTGCGTCGCACTGCGAACGCATAACTAATGGTGAGTTTTAATAGAAACGGTGTGCAAGCATATTGTGAATATTTCATTCGAAAAAAATTGTGATATTTTGTGTCAGGGAAAACTTGTCAACTTGTCACCTTGTCAGTCAACACTCAGTCAGTCTCTATAAATTTTTCAACATCTCTACGTTTTTTGTCCAAGCTCGTGGCTATACCGAAAAAAATGATCGTATGGCTTAAATCAACAATGGCTGTTATTTACTTACTTTCCTGACGTGTAAACTCAGCATAAATGAATGGGCAAGCGGAATAATGAAACGTAATTCTGTTTTTAAATGAAGTGCCTCTGAGAAAAATTTTCAGTAAAAAAGCCCCACAAAAATATTGTCTGA